ATATACACCTGAGTGACTCTGGACAATCAAAGGCAGTGAATGTCCTAAAACATTCAGAGGACTTGACCTTATGTTTCAGACGTCAGTATCTACAACAAATCAAGTTCCGCTCCCTGAACTAACTAACGTCCCATGTTTGCAAGGACCTGCAAAATGCCCTAGTTACCAACTGTTATGACTAACTGTACTGAAACTTCAAGGAACAGAGAGACACAGACAAAGTGCACATTGTTTTCTAAGCACCATACCCGGGACTATCAGAACTAGATAACAAAGATTAAACCACAGTTGCTGCCATGAAACAAAAAAAACCCCAAACAAACAAAAAAAATAAACAAAATATATAAATAAATAAAAAGGAAATATATCAAAAACAGAAACTCCCTTTGACAACCAGCCATCATGAGGATCCTGTGAGGAAGAGGTAACAGCAAGTTCCTTTTAACTGCTGAGTATTTCAAGGAAAGTTTTGGCCTGTCCAAGTACTCTAAGACCTAGAGGGAAAAATACCAGTTCCTACCATCTTTGACTGAAGACCCTCATTTCTTGCTCTCTGCCAAAGACCTTCTTACATGAAATCTAACAGCCACCAAGGTAGAAGCAACATTCTCGTCACTGGCCACACAGCATGCTGTCCGGAATTGTCAACTTCATCAGTATCTCAGGTCAGGGAGTATACAGAGACCACAGTGGCTCAGAGATGGTGCTTGTACACCCATGAACATGGTAACTTCCTCTTGTGAGAGGAGGAAAGGATCTTCAGGAGATAAAAGAAAATAGAAGCCAAGACAATACACGGTACACTTGCTGTTTATTCCGTGACTGCTACATTAAGTGGTGAAGAACCATTAGTATCGCAAATCTCTTCATACCTGTTTCTCTGGTTTAGAACAATCACAAAGGAAAAAAGAAAAAGTAAGGCCCTTGGTGTTTTCTGTCCTAAGGTTTCCTGAGTAGCATCTTGTGGAAGGGCATAATTGTGTCTACAACTTCCAACAATGGAGCAGCTGGCAAAACTATAGCCCGGTCCTCACCTGCAACAGTCACTCCAACTGCAATTATTCACTGTGTTTACTAGGAGGCTTGGAAAAAACATTAACTAGTATTTAGTAAAGGAAAGGTTTATTGCAGCCAGGGGAAAAAAAAACTGAACTAGCAGGCTTTCCAGGGTTGAAAATCATTATCCTCTGCAGCCAGAACCAAAACAGCCCTCCTGAAGTCTCTCAAACAAGTAAATGATGGCTGAGCACACTTAAGGACAAAAAAAACATGACTGGAGTTTTAGCTCCCCTTTGGGGCTTGGCTGTATGTTCACTTAAAGTTCAATCCATAGCTTGGGTAGAACCCAAACAGCTTGTTCCATTAAAATCAAGTATCAACTCACATCTAATACCACATCACTGTGAGCAATCACCAGAAATGGCATGCCTGCTCCCCCACTCCTTAACCACAAAATATTGCTCCTTTCCTTCAATCAGGTTAATGATCCTGCAGCTGCAGAGGGAGTTGGTTCAGGCTCACCCAGGAGCAAAATAAACCCTCTAAAACAAAACAATCAGTCAGTTCAACAAGCTTATCCAGTGGAAATCTGTGTGGCTACACAACTGCTGAATCTGACAGGAGGGACAGGGATCAAGTTCATAAGGAAAAGAGGGAACTTGCTTTTTAGTAGACATGCACTATTATAGCATGGGTAGAAATGTATTTTGTTTAGTCAGGATCCGGTAGAGCATTACTTGATCCTGGTCAAGCCCATGGCATACAATCAAAAAAATTAGAAACAATTCCCTGTAGGAATTTTAAAAACAGAAAAACTCCCAGCAGAGTTTTGAAGAAAAGTGTATATTTGAATATATAATTATGTTACAAGAAAAGAAGCTTCTACCACATTTACTGAGGAGCACTTCATGTTCAGCCTCTTAGATACCTGTTAGCATCCAGTTAGTAACTTACAGTGATGAGTATGCTTAAAATTTGGAGGTGTTTCTAGCCGAAGAAGAGGACAGTATAATTAACATCAGAACAGCCACAATAACACAGCTTATGTTAACCTAAAATATAGTCTTTTCCCTCAGCTACAGAAATGTATGTTTACTTTCAGCTTCAGGCATTAAAATAGAGATTCAAACTAGTGCAAAGCATCTTATTCACCCATAATAATTTTTAATGATTTTGTACACATAACTAAATATTCAATTCTTTTGCCACTCATCTATGGATTTCACTTTTAAAGGAATAACACAATTAAACATCCACCCATTCGCTACCAAAAGCCCCACCTTGCCAAGGTTTATTTACTCTGCCAGCTCATTAAAACTCACAGCATCTTCTCTGAGGGAGAAAGGAGGAAATCCAGTCAAACCCATTCAGGAAAACAGGGATGGTTGACTTGGAAGTTCTTTGAATGGCTCTCTCCACTAAAAGAATCACAAAGCAAAGCCTATTCAGACTGCAATATTTTGCACATCTTTCCAGCCTGAGATGAACTCTGGGGTCAGCAAGAAGCCCAGGTAGCCTCAGGGTACACACATATGTAAGCAGGTGAGAAAACAGCTGTAGCGTACCAACTACACAAGCTATAAATGTTCTCTTCAAGGAATACATGAAAGTACACACAAACTCAGGCCACACTCTGGTTAACCCTTCAATACTACCACACACAAAAAAATACTTAAGTGGATTAAGCATTTCAGATAAGACTGAAGTACACCACTCAAACTGCACAGGGTTGATGACCTTCCTGTACTAACTGTGACTCCGTCTCAAAACCACTGCTCCCTGCTCTTCTTATGACAATGTCAGCAGGACACTTCCAGAACAATTAAAGCTTGGGCTGTCAGCGCACACACCACTCAGGCTTCCAGTTTGTCAATACCATCAACTATAAGATACAACAGTTAAAACAACAAAAACAGTTTCACTGGATCACCCACACTTATCACCACCATTATAATCAACAGCTACCCATACTCACAATCCATGCAAGCACATAAAAAAAAAAAGCAAAAAAAAAAAGCTGCTAAATAACAAATGAAAACTTAAACCAGTTTACTGGGAAAGCTAATCCAGAATAAATTGCTTCATAAAATTTAACAACAAAAAAAAAAGCAGGGATAAACAAAGTACTGGGAACTGCTGGCTTTGGCTATTAAGCAGTAGAAACGCATACTTCAGTTACCTGCTCTAACAACCCATACCTGAACAGCATGTAAAATGAATTGCTGTTTCTGCAAAAAAACAAACCATGTAGTAAGATTCAAGCAGAAACCCAGGCACTCCAAATGACACCAAGAACCAGGTAACACCTGCCAGAACAATACCCAGCAGGGGGAATTCTCTTGAATGGGGAGCTCAGAAACAAGGTGCCACACAGGAAGCGGTGCTGCACATTGGACATCTCACTGCCAGATCACGAACACACTCCTTGCTTGTGCATTCCCTGCCCCCATCAGCGTCATCAAACCACTCTCTCCTGGAACAGCTTCCAAAGGAATTCTTTGAATAGAAACAGATACAAGCAAGAGGACTAAAAATAGCCGAGCAAGAGAAGAGACATTCTCACACTTGCAGAAACACACTCAACTACATTTAAATAAAAAAAAAATAAAATAAAAAAAAAAGGCTGCTATTTCATTTAATTCACATTAGAAATGACAATAAGGGACAAAGTAGAAAGTGCCACCAGAGAGAAGTTCTGGAGGGCAAGACTGATGCCTTAAGTTTTAGCTTTCATATTTTCCAGATTCAGTACTGCATTAGTATATAACCCTGAACTTCATACAAACTGTTAGCAAGTTCTCTTTACAGTTTTGTTAGACAAAACGATCCTTTTCCAGCCCAAGAACCAAGGACACCAGTGCAGCTTGAGGCCCAAAAAGTACAGACAACAGTGAATTGAAGAGAGCAATCTGGAAGGATGGGACTTCAAACTGAAGCTGTAATTGGACAATTAACCCAAACATGTAAATGGATCAAAACTTATAAAAGTGTGAAACTCGTGACCCATGGTCGATCTTGGGTGGAGCCAAAGCCAAACTCCTGTACTGCCCAAGGTGTATCCTTTGAAGACCTTTTATTTAAACACCTACTTTATTCCTTTAACACTGTCCAGCCTCTGTCCTAGGTAGCCTCTCAAGGCATCAGGATTAAGAAGACTTATGCCACTCATCAGATCACATTACAACACTCACCAAAAAAAAAAAGCAGTGCTGAAATTACAAGCCACAGGTGATACAGAATTAAATACACTCTCTATTCAGTAAGGCTGCATCTATAAAATGTGATAGCAGATTTTTGATTTTAGCTTCGGTTTTGGTAGCAACACCAAAGAGCTCAATCCTTCCTGCACATGTACAAAGTTCAATCCTTGAACCAGACACCAAGGGAAGACCACCAGCACCAATCACTCCTTGTGATATGTTCATATATTCAGAAAACCAAAGAAAGCCAGGAGTCTTGCAGAAAAACATTTTTTAAAACAGCAAAATATTCTAGAACATCTTTCTATATTTTTGTCCCAGGTTACAATATTTCTAAAAATTCATCTTAGGCAGGAATAGCCACTAAAATTAAAAAAAAAGCCTTTTTTTTTTGTTTGTTTTTTGTCTTGCAGTGACATTCATGACTCTAAATCTAAAGTTTCAGAAGAAGAAAAAGATATAACAGTCTGTAGAAAAAAGTTTCTTGAAAAGAAAATAGTTTGTAAGGCAGTGTTAACCATTTCCTTTCTTCACAATCACTGTACATAACATCTTAATGGAACTATCAGCCATTTGGCTCACTTTAGCATTTAAGTTAAACGCTGTGAGAAGTGAAATCCTTTTACAAACTTACTGTCAGGGGCTCAGAAACAAGAAACAACTGAAGCAGCACCAAGAACTGAAAGCCATCAAAGACCACTTCCATTTCTCTGCCACCTCTGGATTGCTCTTTCTACAGTCCAAACCACTGTTACCATTTTGTCTAGTTTTAAGCAAGCAGGTTTGACAATTTACCTCTGATACTACTCCTCGTGTTAACTTGCTTCCGTCAGAAAACCTGGGTTTACCCGAAGCCTTCCCGCCTGTTTCTAAGTATTATTTTCCTCACAACCACAGCTTTTCAACTTGGTGTCATGTGTAAATTCAGTTACTCCATCATTCTAGAATTCATGTGAGGTCAGGTTTACCTCATCTGCACCAAAATGATACCAAACTTTTAAAAGAGATGAAGGATTAACTATCTTTACAACCTAAAACTTAAAACATGCTAGAACAGAGCAGGCAAATAAAATGCCTTCAAACGCATAATTCAATCTAACAGCAGGAATACAGTCATCCAATCCAGGCTGTTCTCACCCTTGAAGTTAAATCAAAATGAAATTCATCACTCAGTTGTTAGTTTCTTAAACTTTCTGAGGAAGATACCAAAGAGACAAGGTACTCACATAAAGTGTCCATTTGCCCAGTTTTACTGCATTTAATTCAGTACTGACTTTCTCTCTTAACATGAATAGGGTGGAGAACAACCCGTATGTTTTTTCTAACACCCATGCCACCATTCCAACTCCAGCTGTACCTTTTTCTGCAAATGTGATCTGACTTAAATGTTATTTGTGTTTTCTGTCTCCAGTAGGTTGTCACTCTTCTCCACCACTTTGTTCCAAGCCAAAAGCTCACAATAAAATTGACAAAAGGGCAAGAGTATTTTCTTCTTGAGTCTGCAAAATCTGAACAAGTACATAAAGCTTTTTTTCAAAATTTCCTTCCTATTGTTAAACCATTTAAAAATTCCTCTCTATATTAATATATTCCCTTATTTTCATAAAGTTAATATTTCCTTTTAACATATTTTTGTCATCTGAGTTAGTTGAGTACAGCATAGTAATGAATCACAGTCCTCAATTTCACACAAGTATGCCAAGTTCATGTACTGTGCAAGGCATTAAAATGCGTAAGCAGAAAATGTACTTTCTAAAATATTCAAAGATTGTAGTGACCTGTCCATTTTACCACTGAAAATCTGAAAGACCAAGCACTTTCTTGCAAGATGAAGTTACTCACTTTTGAAATAAAATGGAGTTGTACTCTACACACACCTTAGCTTCTGAAATAGCTTATTTATACTAACTGTACACCTCACCCTCAGTACACATATTAATTCTGTGAGACTGCACCTGGAATATACGTTGTGCTAACTGCAGAGTTCAATTCTAGCAACAGCATTAAAATATTACAGGTACCAGCTATAGAGAGCATACTGCACCTATAAAAACTTCACTAAACAAATGGTTTGACAACAACAAGCTTGAAAGCCATTTCAGAAGATGTGTTGTAAACATCAGTTTTCTCCAAGCAAACCAGAAAGCTGTATGTACACAGAAATCAAGCAAAGGATGAGCAAAGAATAACCAAGATAAAACAAGTTCTAAAAATTGCATTACAAACTTAAGTAACAGCTTTTTAAACATAGCAATAATTTTCAGTCACTTACAGAGCCTTGTTTAAAAATTCTGTAACAGCAGGGGGCTGTTAAGCACACTTGCTGAAAAAGCCAAGACGGCACTGTAAATAAATTCAGAAACCAATGGTAGGCAAGTTTAAAATGCAGAACAGTATGATGCCTTAAATGTGTTCTCAATTTAACACAAGACTGTTTTTCAAGTTCAATGAATACACTGTCCAAAGTATGGTTTTTTGAAAACTAGTAAGAACCTAAGTAAGTAGAATAAAGTGAAAATAAAAATTGAAAAGGAAGAATGCAACATACCCCCTCTGATCAGAGGAAAAAGTACAAGAGACATCAGTGACACAAAACTGCAACCAGCAGAAAGTAAACAGCTAAAAACCTGCTCATTGTCTCACCCTCAAAACACTGAAATTTGCCGTTCTGAAGGGCTTCAGGGTAGTTTTTTTTAAACTATACAAGCCTCATCTAAGTAGGTACTGTCCTTTTGGTTCCTCCAGGTTGGGTGTCCAATATTAGAAAAACCATACTTACCAACCCTGTTGCTATGCTCTAAACCTCTAAGGAAGAAGGCATTAGAATGACCTTAGTTTTGATATTCAAAAGAACACTACCCTGAAGTCTGAGTTTTTGAAATTTGTTGCGAGATACTGTGAGCCTGCAGCTACATCACAGGATTTTCTATGCAGGATCAAATGCAAGGGACTGATAGAATGGGATAAAACAACTCTCAATACACTGCATTTAAACATTATGGAGTACACATACGACTGCTGAAAACAGCAACTTGAAAGAGTAGAATTTTGACTTCCACTTACTCACAAAAGTCCATTTGAGGAGTTGCAAATACCTCCAAGAAAAACATTTTGTGCTCCTTTTAGATTTTATTTTGCCAGAAAAAGAAGAAAGGGAAGGAAAAAGCATGTTTAAATTAATGATCTCATTCTAAGAGGCAGAGACATAACTTCCATTAAAATCATTCAAAAATCTCAAATGTTGTATACAGAACAAATAAAACCCAGAAAATTCTCAGCACACACAGCACCAAGAGTAAGGCCTTCTATATCTGAGATTATGTTAGACTTTTACATATATTCTAAATGCAAGTACATTTAAGAACACAAACCTTTGTTTGACTGATTTATCAGTTCCTACCACAATCAACTGAGGAATAAAACAGAGATCAAGGAATGCAGTGACATTAAACAAGAATAAAAACTACAATGAAATCTAGTGAATAAAAAAAAAATTAAAAAATCAACTTTAAAGACTATTGTGAACACACTAAAGGCTGTAATTTTATTTCAGAGGCAACTAAAATTAAATAAACATTTATCTGGAACTCACTTGACAGCAGACATTTTACCATGACTGAAATGGAAGTTGTCAAACAATTAGAAGTACACTGATGTTAAATTAAAATTCTCACACTACAAAAAAAGTATTTCTTTAGCTGCACACTTCTAGAGCTTTAGCAAGTTACCCAATTGCTGTAAAATAATTGAAAGTTTAAGTTCCAGAAACATATGATAGTGCTTTGGTTAACCTTAAGCCTCTCAGAGCTGTGATGTTTTGAACTTAATACAAGTGGAAAACATTGCCACCATCTTCCTCAAGATGAGCTCTTAGGGAATTTTTTCCTTTTAAACTCATTTGAAGCTTAATAGAGATCCTAATTTTATTTTTTTTTTAAAGTTAAGCTGAGGGGATATTTCCTTTTTTTTTTTTAATTAGACATTTGTTTGATTATAGATATATGTACACATATATGTATATACATATAACTTTTGAAAAAGAGAGATGAAGAATACAGATTATAGGTCAGTATTTCAACAAGCTTTGATACATCCCTGAAGCTTAATGCTTGGGAGGTCAATGCACACCAAGTCCCGGAAGAAGTTAACACACCACTTCCTCCCAGCTGCTTTTTAAGATTTCAGGAAAGCAGAGCCCCACGCCTTTCTAGCCATAAACACCATAGCAGTATAAAATAAAATAGAGTTATAATGCCCAAACATGCATTTAGGTAAACCAGCCTAGTGTGATGCTCTATTTTTAGGCTTTGCCATGTTTCTAGATTTATGCATTTAGGTTTTAACTGTAACAAAATCAACAAAGTACACATATACATTTTAGCTAAGTTCAGCACAGTGTTTGACCTATATTTACATGAGGTCACTTCACCTGGCAGAGAACTTGAGAAGCGTGAAGTTGAGATTTTTCAGGGAAACAAAGAGGTGGTAATGTTCTTACTTTATTCAACAGAATGACTCAGTGAATCTATTCAGAGAACTAACTTTCCTCAGAATTATTGAGTGCCAGAACAGATAGCTTATCCCCTTCAACATTTCTGTTTTAGAAATGAAAAAAAAAAAAATCTTAAAAAACTTTCAGTCTTTCCAGCATATCTGTTCATATATAAACTTCTGGGGAATACAGCAAGTTGTCAATGCTGCACTTTAGATACCTGTAAATGCAGAGCACAAACACATTCATAGGAATACCAAAAGTAAGATGCACAACAACCTCATAATTTCCAGTCGGCATTGAGACACAGCCACTACACACTAACAGAGCAACACCACTTCAAAGGATTGAAACATAGCCTCGGTGTCAAATAATTCACCAGGCAGATCTAACAGCCAAAAGGGATGTTGAGAACAGAGACCCCTTTCTCTCCCCCAAGCACTCTACCAGGGCTGATCATTCCTGGCATTATTTCATTACTCTCAGTGCAGCTCATTAAAGCAGGAATTTTGTTTGTTAAGACACACCTAAGGTTCCCCAGAATTACTGATTCTTCTCATATGAACCAGACTCCAAATAATTTGAACAAACAAATCAAAGTAGGAACCCATCATATCAAGAACACCTAACTCTTCCCCCACCCCAAACCTGTCTTGTAACTAGCACCAAACTACATCCTCCTCCTGCTCCTCCACAACCAACTCACTCTGTCCTTCTCCCTCTACACACTGCATTAGAACCTGTCTGTTAAGTCAAGGAATGTATCATCTAAAGTCCACGTTAACAACTGATCCTAACTTTCCTCCAGTACTGTGGAGCAACTGGAAAAGGAGGAAGAGTTGTATGTCAACTTTTCAATCAGGCTGTCAATAAAGTGGACGCACAACCATAAAACCAATTCCTGGCTGCTCACCACTCCTAAACAAAGTCCCAAGAAGGAAAATGATACTGATTCCAGTTGTTCAACTCTTCCATTTGTTTCCCCCTACATTCAGTTCCAGTTCCAAACAGCTACCTGCCTTTTTGCTGGGTGGAAAGGGTTCTGGTTACCACAGTCTGGCTCAAATGTTCAAAATCACCTTGTTTTCACCTGAAAGGAAAGATGCCTCACTCAATTGTTTTTGTGTTCAATTTTTACTTAAGTACTAAAATTAACTGAAAAGGGATTATTTTGCAGTTTCTTGCATTATGTTTTATCATATTTTATATTGGGTGAGTCATTTCATAACTAATGAAAAACTTGAACATCTTTTCTTGATCAGTCATTTTAATGGATTTGAGAACAATATAAAAGTTAATACATTCTTGCTTCACTCTCTCTTATAGCCAAAGTTCTCAAAAGCACTCCCCAGCAATCCACAGAATCAGCAAGGGAGCAAAGTCATCCAAATATTTGAGGGGGGTTTCCTAGCAAAAACTGCACCTCAGTGATGTTTCATTTTGGATGACTGTTCTACAACCATCATCCCAGCACTTCCCAGATTCGATAACACTATGAAAGTAATTTTAACCATCTAACTTTATCTCAACCTTTCTCTACACTTGTGGAGGTCTTGGGGTTTTGGGGGAAGGTGTCTGGACTTGCCAGAGTACAAAAACTAGGCTGCTCCAGTTTGCTTCTAATTTAGAACTCATAATTCTGCAAAACTTGGCCTTCAGTCTCATTAAAAAGTACTTTTAAAAACAATTTTGATGTACACAGCTTCATAAAATGGACTGTTCAGTATGTTATAAGAACTCAGTCTAACCTCTCATAAATGATGTATTCTAATTTAAGTCATCATTTGCAATCCATGCAGTTCCTAAACAAAACATACAAAGGACCTAGGCAATTTTATCACTATCAAGAAAATCAAGCATTCAATCTGTTTCTTGCCTCACAGACTGCTGAATTATTGTCTTCAACTCGGCCAAAATCAGGATAGTCAATTACTCCTCATGTGCAAGCGCAAAAATTAATCAAATTTGAAATATGCCTCTTACTGCATTTTCACAGCACTTTCTCTAAACCCACCC